AAAAAGTAAATCATAAACAAATTTATAGCAATTTTCTAGGCAAATTTGCCTGGAATTGTCTACAGTTTAAGGGATAATATTTTAAAAAAATATTGTTATATTTGATAAAAAGACTGAGAAAATAAAATTAAAAGTTTTTATACTATATAACTAATTGCACTAATATTTATTTTAATAAGGAAAAAAACAATCTTTAAAAAAAAGTTTGATTTCTTATATTTAAAAAAAAAATAAAAAAGAATTATTCATCATTAAAATATAACATATTTAGTTGTTTTAAAGAATCAAGTAAAAGATTTTGATAATCACTATTTAGAAGATTATTATACATGGAAAAACTCTGTTCAACTCTGCAACTAGAAGCCAGAAGCCAGATATAATTTAGTGCGATTTTTGATAAATTTGATAAAAGTAATTATATTTCTATCTAATATTCATTAAGATTAGTCATTTCACTAGTTACTTCATTTACAGATCCATAATAAATCGCCCATTCTTGTATAAGTATATTTGAAGGATTGTTGAGTTCTATAATTGCTGAGTATTGACGAATATCTCTATGAGAAATATCACCTACCAAGTTACCTATTTTAATATATAGAGGATCAAATATATGACATGTATGAAATAAAGAATGTGCAAAGTGTTGTGGAATGTGTGTTGTAAATTTATTATATGCAACAACAAATGCAAAATGAAAAATATTATAAAATTCTTCTAAATTAAAATGAAGCTATGAAATAAGATTATGCAAATCAGCTCTAAAATCTTGTACTACAATATTTTCTTCAATAAATGATGTAAGTTGTTCAAGCCATCCTTCAATATATGGAAATATTGGTTTATCCTGTTGCTAAAAAAAGTCTAAATCGTGAACAAATTCTTGCGCATAATATGAAATAAAATTAATATAAATAATTATTGTGCTTTTTTTTTATCTATCTTGTAAAATCGTATTAATTTCAGCAATTAAATCATAGCTTGTATCTCTTTCATATTTTTCTAAATAAAATGAAGCCCAATATTTAATATAATCTTTAGTATAAAATACTATTTTGAACCATGAATTCTGACATGTTTTATTAGGTAATGGAGTTTTGCATGGATTATTAATTCTATGTACTTGAAGATGATTTAAATAATAACCTTTATATGTGGATGAGTTTGTAAATAATTCTTTAACTTTTAATAAAAGAACTTTTAAAAGATTAAAATCAGGAAATACTCGCCAAGTATTACTAATATGTATTTAAAAAATAATTATATAAAATTAATTAAAAATACTTTATTATATATATGTATATGTATATATACTATAAATTAAATTATATTTACCCAATAAGGTTAATAAGATGCGCACAACAAGATAAATGTACTAATTGCGGCATTACTGGTTTTAATATTTCATGGTAATATTTTTTTATATAAGTCGCAAAGTCAGATAAAAATAATTTTGTTAAAGTATATGAAATATTATATTTAACTAATATAGTTAATAAAGTCCCATTAACTGTTGAATTATTTACAGCTTCTAAAAAATTAACAGAAACTAATTTAGTATTTTGTTGAAAAGTAAATAAAGTATTTACAACACTACATAAACAGTTATCCGTAGTTTCATCCATTATAATCACTACAGGTTTTTGAATAAAAAAATCTTGAAAGGTAGTAAGATAGTACTCAAAAACAGTTGGTAAATATAATTGATGAAGTATGGTAGCTTGAGGAATAGCACCACCTTCTTTTAAATATTTTTTAAAAAATAGAAGTAGACTATTAACTTTTTCAAGAAAAATGTTTGCAAAAGAAAATACTTTAATCAAATCCTCTATAACTTCTCTTTTTGACTCTGATAAAATTTTAATTGTAAAAAGTGTAGTTTGTTTTTTAGACTATATTTTATTTTCATAAATTCGTTTATTCTTAATATGTGCTTTTGAATTACAATAATCATCAACCATAGATTTTACTCTCCATTCAACAGAATAATTGCAATAGTTGCAAAACATAATTGCATTATTTTCTCTAAAAACACCAGGATGTTTACTCATACGAGTAGCTATAGAAACCTTTTATTACATGTTGCTATTATTAAAAAAAAGGTAACCCCAATCACTATCGCACATTTATATTTAAAAAAAAATGATACATATCATAATAATATTACAATTATATTGATATATTGATATTAATATTTACTCTTAATTAAAAATATATCTTGTTCAAGCTTGATATTTTTTAAATTTGCTATTATGATAAATGAAATATAATTTGTTAAAAAAAATTTTTTCATGTGATTTTAAATCAATATTACAAATTTATATTTAAAAAAGCTTTTATTATAATTATAGATGCAGGTGAGTTGCTTTATAGCAAAAGTTGTAACAAGTTATGAAGTTGCACCTGTATCCAGAGATAGTAAAAAATCACTTTTTAATAATTTTTATATTTTTTAACATGATTTAATAAAATGGTTTAAAACATTGTTAAATATAGTATTGATAGATAAGTTACTATATCTAATTGATTAATTTTAACTTTATTGTCACTGTGAAATATTAAATATGCAAATATACTATTTTTTACATTAGTCATAACCATATCAGTATTATTAATCATAATATTAATATTAGTGATGATGTTTTAAAACATTATGTTTTAAATCATTTACTATCCCTATCTGCACCCCTAATCATGATTTTCTTGAAAGTATCCCTTAATATGTAGACCAACACAGGCAAATTTGCCTGCGTTTTTGCATTTTTTTAGCTCTGATTTACTTTTTTA